AGCCTACCGTCTTCTCAAGTTTGCCCGGAAATATATTGATCTTTGTACATCATTCGATCCAGCAGAATCTCTCTTTTCCTAAAATGAAAGAATCGCTGAGAAATTTTGCCTCTGCGAAGAGATATAGCTATTTTCTTGATGCTATAGGGGTTAGCTCATTGAAACCTGCCGTACCCTCAGCTTTGACCAGTGACATATCAATTTCTTCACACCTATCGATCGAGCAGAGTCTCTACATTCAGAAAAATATACATTTTGTGCGGCGATTTTGATTACTTGAGGAGCTATAGCTATTTTATTAAAGCTATGTCAGTCATTCGTTACTCATTCGTCGGCTATCGGTGATTTCGAAAGACGCAATGCGTTCTAACATCAATATAATCAATTTTCTATGAGTGCTCTGTTTAGCTAATTTTCCATAGCGCAACTTGCTACAAAAAAGTGCGTCAACATTACAGCAGAGATAATTTGCAAATTATTTTTTCTTAACGACTGCTCTCCATTTGGAGTTTTGATCGGAGAATGTGTTCGATAGGCTGCAAATGGACGGAGTTCTCGTCCAACAGCCTGTGCTACACACAAATGAGATTTCCACGGTCCAAATTAACGAATGGTTTCCGTTGCCCGAGAGGACCGAAAAACTGAAGAGTTCAGATAGGAGAGGATAGACTGTACTCTACTCTGTTCAATATAAACTTCGTTTTATTCGTTGAATCGGAGTCTTCCTCGAACAAAAACTTGCTTTTGGTGAGTCACGAAAAATACAACACCCACGGTTTCTATTCAAAGTAAAACAGTAAAAGTAAACTTCAATTCAAAAAAAAAGTATTTTATTATGCATGTTTTGCAATATGAATCACACAACAATTTAAATCTCTCAGTAGTTTCGAACTGGAGCATTTTCAATAGAAGAGTTTCGTTCATCTGAAAACTACAAAAATAGAACAGTCATCCAAATTCAGTGCGTTCCTTTTAACACTTTCCTGTTCTCAGCAAAACTCACTCTCAATGCAATTACAAAAACGTGTTGAATTTTTCGTTTTGTTAACCTCACAATTTAACAGCGATTCGCAGTGGATCACTGGCGACAAAAAATGAACATTTTCGATTTCTCATTAAAAGCACTTGATCGGTGATTATGCAGGATAGCTCAAACGATGCTCATGCCCAATTATTCGCATGAAAATTGATCATTTCAGGATATAACATCAACTTGTGGTACTGTGAGCAACTCAAATGAAAAAATTTTGCGAGCATGTTGAACAATAATCCCAGTTGGTGCCCTCAATTAATAAAGATTATCAATGGATATTTTATACATCACTCCAAAATAATTGGTTGATCTCGCCAACAGGAACATGTTCACAAGTGAATTCGAACAGTATATATACCCCCCTCCAACCTAGTTATGTACAAACCTGTCCGAGTTCTGTTTTCTGTATAAACTGATTCCGAGTCTCACCGAATAAATTCACCGCAATGACGACGCATCGTNTAAAATAGTTTCACAGTCAGATAATTCGACATCATCAAATTTCTCAGCACAGAGATGCTACATAATATTTATTTGTTCATAACCTAATGACAACTAATTTACAGCTCATCATTCGTCCGAAAGTCATCAGTCGTCTGAAAGTGATGAGTCATCGGACGCTAGTGATTACGAGCCAGTGCACCCGGATTGGTTGGCTCCGATAGTAAATTCAAACTTAACAAAACAACAACAAGAAGATGAAATGCTAAAAATAGCTAAGGAGCACGGTGGTGAAATAGAGGTATCATTGATAATTTCCTGAAATATTTTTACTTTTACTGATGAATTGTGCTAAATTTCTGGCCATATTCATCGACAATTTACAGAAACTGAGTTGTTTGATTGTTAGACGACATATCAGCGCCACCAGATGGCAAAAAGTCACTAGTTTGTCCGTATAGTACTCGAACAATTCGATGACTAAGCGCCATTTCTGAATCCGGATTTCAGACACTGACTAGTGCGGGAGTAAGTCCGGTAGAAATCCTCAAATTGTTTTGAAGGTTCTCTAAATATTTAAAGCCTGAACCCCATGATAATTATGCACAAAGTCTGAAAAAAATAAAAGCCTGAACACCATGATAAGCTTAGGACCCGCAAGAAGACTGTCCATTTAAAGACTGACCTTAGCGCTGAGAGCGAAATCGAACTTTCGAGGGAGCTTAGCGTGGAGCAATTCATTTACTGAAGTTTCATGGACCATCATTCATTTCCTCACAGTCTGCTGTGCTTCTTTCCGCTAAATCTCCTCGAAAGAGATTCCGTATTCGAGGTAAACACGAAAAAACAATTCAGTTACACCACTGATGATAGAAGCACTAAAATTTATTATGTCATGAGGTT